ATTAAAAATACAAGAAGAAGTATACCTATTCCAAGTAATTTTAATGGAAAAAAAGTAGTTTTATGGATAACAGAAAGTATTAATTCAAATACTACAAAAGTTAATATAAGTGACTACAGCTCAGAATTAGTTGCACCACTAGCATATTACTCAAGTAATCAAAAATTTGAGTTTTTAAATCAAGATGGAATATTAGAAAAAATTTTGCACTCACCAAACTTTTACGACACTTACTCTGAAGAATTCAAAAAAATAATTTTTCAGGAAAAGTTAAATGGAAGTTATATATTATAAAATATAAATGAAAGATATCTTTGAATTTAACCATATAGATAAATCTCTGTCAGAATCAGACGTCAAAACTCTCAAAGACTTTTATAGTCACTATCATAAGAAATACTGGTGTTTTAAAAAGTGTTATAAGAGTTACAAATTTCTTGATGAAGTTTTTACAATCTCTGGAATATGCCTGGTTGCAATAGGAACTATTACTGGTGGTATTACACTAAATCCTGTTGTTCTAGGAGTTGTAAATGGCGCTGGGGTTATAGTAGCGGGAATTGGAAAGAAAAAGAATTATAAGAGAAAAATTGAAATGTCAAGAATTGCATTTACTACTTATGAAAAAGTACTAGTTGAACTTCGTGCAGCTCTTAGAGGTGATGAGTGGAATAAAGAAGATTTTGTTGATCGTATGAAACTAATAGATGAAATGATAATTGATCAATCTCCTATAGCAGATAGATTTGCTAGTAGGTATATTGAAAAATTTAATATAAAAGCTTAAAGATTAAATTACTTATATTAAAATGGATCAATTTGAAAAATTTGAAAATCAATTAATTAGTTCTTACGAAACAGCTTTAGCTGAAGAATCTAAAGAAATAGAAGAAAAAGTTAATTCTTTAATTAAAGATTATAAATATTTAAATGTTGATGATTTGTGTTATAAAATTAAAAAATTTAATTTTAATGTAAGTAATTTAACAAGTATTAAATATGATTTGAATAACATATCTGAAACAAGAAAATTTCAAAAAAAAATTTTAAAATAAACTTAGACTTTTTTACTAAGAGATTAAATACTAAAATAGTATTTAATCTGATATATAATCTTTATAACGCCCCATTAACATTTGTATATGAAAAAAAGTTATACATTTTAAATTATAATTCAATCTTGATTTATCTGGTAGTTCACTAATTTCATTTATAATTTTAACATTATCATATATTTGATTAATATTTTCTCTTTCTAAGAAAACTTTTGGTTTAAAAGTGTTTATGTAGGTTTCCATTTCTGTAAACATATCATCATACAACTCTAAAAAATCGAGATTTCTTTCATTAATTTCATTTTTAACATCTTCTAAAACTCGCATACATCTACTCCACTTGCTTGAAACATTGATAAGTTTTTTTTCCTTAAGAGTTAAATATTTTTTGTACGTATCGGGATTATTTTTGCGCGTATATTCTTCGAAAGAGTGTATAAAATTTAATCCTTCTTTAATCAACTTTTGTTTTCTTTTATTAAGTATAGCGTTCATTTTAATTAAATAATTTCTATTCTTTAAATACTAATAATGCGTATCAAAAAAAAAGATTATCTTTATAAAAAATTACTTCTTGATTATTCCCAATCATAATTCTATAATTACCTACTAACTTATACTCAAAATCCCATTTTCTTGGATCTAATCCCTTAAATTCAATAATTGATTCAATATAACACAACAGGCGCTCATTATATGATAATTTTTGTATATTTTTATGATAAAATCTAAGGTAAATGTAGTGTTCTAACATTTTTAGAAAATGTAAATTAATATAAGATTTTTTGGTTTCAATTCCAAAAAGTAAATTTCTATTAAGATGAAGTTTTATTCTTTCTATAATCTTCATCTCATCAACAAGTTTTTCATATTTTTCTTTATTATACTCTTTAGCTTTTACACTCTTTTTGGCTTTGGTATAATTATAAACACGAGTATAAAGATACCTATTACATTTGTATTTTATAGTTGCAAAAGATGACATTACTATTATTATAATTTATTTATCTTTAAACTAAGGATATAACTTTTTCTCTCTTAAAAGTTTTTCAAGTGATTTAACATCTTCTCCATCAAAAAAATCTCTCCATTGTTTTTTCTGTTCCTCATTCAATGTAAGGTTATAACCTTCAGCAAAATAAGCATCTTCATCTACTTCTTTTTTATGTAAATAAAACTGTTCTGGAGCACGAGTTTTTTCAAGTGCATGGACTAATTCTTTTAATTTTTTTCCTATTACAGGATCTTCAACTTCTATATAAATCTGCATAGGAATGTATTCATCAGTGTCTAGTTGAAGATATTTTCTTAACTCATGAAAACGAGTACTGTTTTGGTGTTCTTTCAACTCCTCTATTATTTTTAATAGTTCCTTTGGTTTCTCAGGTTCCTTAGGTTTCTCAGGTTCTTTTGAGTAATCTACTTTCTCAGCAATATTAGCTAAGAATTCTCTTTCTTCTAATGACATATTGTTGCAGTCTATAAACCCAAGTATACTACCCAAAGATCTTTCCATTTCAACCAAGTCATCTAAAATAGAAGGATGAAGTTTGTATAACACTTCACAGATGTGTTCTAGATTTAACAAAGAGCGAGGATTAACTTGTATTTTCATTTTTTTTATTTAATGATTATACTATTGATTAAATACTCATCAATTATTTAATCAAATATAATTATAATAATTTTAACATAAGTTTAATCATTTCTCCTTCAGGTTCTCTTTTTAATCGAAAAACCACGTCTTCATTTGTTTTTCCTGTTTTACCATAGATAAATAAAAAAAGTAAAGTATTTAAATTTATATTATATTGATTAAAATATTTTACTTTTCCTACTATAAATTCATTATCTTTTTCTTTATTCTTTTCATATTTCATTTTATAGAGATTATATATTTTTATAATATCTTCTCTTTCTTCTGTAGAAAAATTAGATAAAAAATCATTGAGAGAAAGAAGTTTAGTTCCCATTACTATTTATTTTATATTATTTATATCTTTAATTAATTTTTCTATTTAAATAAAAAATTTTATTATAAGTAATAATATAAAATGCTAAACACAATTGTGAATTATGTTAACTATTACTATCCTTTACATAATCATCTTCCCTATCCAGAAAATCTTATAAAAACTTCACTCATTTATAGATATTTATACGAAGTTTATTTTAAAGAAAATATAAATATAGAAAAAATAATTTATAGAATAGAAGATAGATCTATTAAATCTAATAATCCTATTCTAAATAATCATCTAATGTTTTACAGNAAAGAAAATATAAATATAGAAAAAATAATTTATAGAATAGAAGATAGATCTATTAAATCTAATAATCCTATTCTAAATAATCATCTAATGTTTTACAGAGCTTTTAAATCTTTTCACAAACATTACAAAATTGGAAGAGGATGTGTATACACATTTGACTCTCCAATCAACAGTGAAGTATAGGTTACCTAACTGGGATAATTTACTGGATTTTTCATAAAAGATTAAAATAATATAATCTATAAATAAAATGGCAGCTGTTATTATTAGACAAAAAGATGTAAAACGTCTTGCTAGAGAATTACTAAATGAAATGTTTGAATTTTTACATGATGAGTATATACTCTCAGAATTTAAAGAAATGAAAGAAGTACAAAAAGAATTCCTAGAAAATCTTGCTTTAAATCATATTAATACGTTACACAGACAGTATAAAATAACAAAAGAAAGAAGAGAAGAATTAGTTAAACCATTCATAGATAAGTTATTGAAAATTGATGAAAATAGTTCAGATCTTGAAAAAAATATTAAAGTTGAATATGTTTCAAAACTTGTAAAAAGTGCTATGGAAGATGGGGGTATCGATACAGAAGGAATATATCAAAGTCTTAATAACTTAAAATTATATATGGAAATAGATGAAGATCTATATTTTAAAACAAAGGCATTTTTAGATATTTTTAGAGTATTTGAAAGTGGATATACTTATTTAGAAAATTAAATTTTATATTTTTTTAAAATATAAAATTATCATAATTTACTAGTGTTTTAACAGAGTTGTAGTAAATTTTAACAATTATTTTTTTAAACTATTATAACTATCCCACCACTTTTCATAATTCTCCATAGTTTGGGGGCTAATCTTTAGATAAACTAGTCTGCTATTTTCACAACCCATTTCCTCCAAAAGTTTTTTTATTAAATAAAAAATGCTTATCATTCTCTTTCTACAAAATTGTTTGTTTAGTATTTCCATGACATGGTTATCTATATTCATTAGTTTATTGTAAAGGTCACACTTTTCATTATCAGATAAATGTAGTCTTTTGGAAACTTGATCAACCTTTTTCCTGTAGTGATACTTTCTCTGATAAATACTCTTCTTTCGAAAATGAAATCGATCGTATTCTTTCAAGTCAAAATAACCAAGAACATGACCATTAGTTGTCCCACAGGAATCGCAAATGTTATAACCTGATTCAACTAAAAAACTATCACTTTGACAATTTTTACATCTAACTTTTCTACTTACATCCACTAGTTTTTTAGTATAATTATGTAATATTTCTAGATATTTTTTTATTTGATCTTCTGTATAACTCATTTATTATTTTATATCTTATTATCTTAAAGCAAGAGTTTCTACTTTATCATTCATTTAAATATAATTAAAAATAAAAATCATTCCATCTTTTTTTGATTTTGCAAATTTAGATTTTTTTTTACAATTTAAACAAATTGAACTTGAACAAATTCCTATTTCCTCTGATGCTTCTTTGATACTTCTAAATTTTTTTTCTTCTCTTGTTTCAATATTAAACGACTTAACACTTTTACATTTAGATTTTTTAATATTTTCTTTACATGATAATAATTGAAGATTATCTAGATGATTATTATATTTACTATTATCAATGTGATCAACTTGTTTATCATTTGGTATTTTACCATTAAAACATTCATAAACAAATCTAGCAACTGAATAAAATCTTCTTCCTTTTTCATTATAAGCATAAAAATGTAAATACCCTCCATTTCCTTTGTTTACATTTTGTTTTATTATTATTTTATGTTTTTTGCCAAATATCTCTCCATCTTTGCTAGCAGCATATCGATTATAAATTGGATGGACATAAAATTTAATATTATTAAATATAATAGTTTCATGACAATTCATAATTTATAATTATTAAATTTTAATTCTTTAAATCATTTTTATCTAAAAGATAAAGTGTGAACTCTATCTTTAAGGACCTTTCTTTTATCATCTTCACTACTCAAAGCTATTTTATTTACTTCCTTTGAGTAAATGTCATGATTTTCACTTCTTATAATTTTCATAGTTCTCATTTGCTTTTCACCGGTAAATAAACACTCAACATAATTTTCAAATTCTATTCCCTTTTTTACAACATTTTTCTTTACACCTTTACACTTCTTGGTTAAACTTCCATCCTCTATCTTGAAAGTATAAAGCTTTGGACGAAGGCCAACAAATTTTGTAATCTGTCTTCCAGCTACTTCATCTTTAAACATTCCTATTACTTTTTTGTTAACTCCTGTTAGTATTCCAGATTCATGATCAGGAGGATAATCAGATGTGTCAAACTTCTCTAATATATCATTAGATATATCGCGATAAAAATCATCCGTATGAATTTGGTATAAAAGTGAGTCAGTATCTGTAAACATTAACTCAGCTTTGTTTTTGTATTTCTTTTTGATATAATTGTAATGAAAATCAAACATTAATGTTTTTGATAAATCTAGAATTGCTTGACCAACATATACTGGTTTGTTAAAATACACTTCTGTTTTTTTCATATGAACCGCAATAAGATTACGATCAAATATTGTTGCTCTATCAAAGTTTGGTCGACTTGTTAATTTTACAGCTTTTTTACGATCATCAATAAGAATTATATTCTGTCTTTTTCTTATATTTTCTATTGTTTTTCCAAATACTGAATTATTCATCAATTTGAAAAAGTCTTTCTCAAAACTGTTAGCTGCTGTTTTTCGAAGTTCTGTATTTTTTCTTATATATGGTTCCATCCAAGAACTTTGATAAAATGATATTCCCCTATGAACAGCAGTAAGCCTCATTCCCATCTCAAGATATTGTCTAAGATTACGATAATGTACAACATAGTTTTTTCTTGGTTTAAAATGACATATAAGTTTTTCAACACCATTAACAATCATTTTTTCAGGTTCTAGAGGATAGCCATTATGTGATTTCCATAGTTTTTTAGGATATTCCAAATCTACTTCAAATATATAACCTTTTCTTCCACGATTTGACATACTATGATTTGCCTTATCTAGAATATCCATTACTTTTTCTTTTGTTAGGTTTCTCTTCCAACTAAATCCATGTATAGGAAGTTGTTGAGACATTGCCCAACCGTATAGATTATTTGCATCAAGATATTGAATATAAGTAGATTCTTTATCAGGATTATAATCTTTCATATATTTGTTATTTGCTTCTGCATATCTTTTTGAAATATGGGATATTCCTCCACGAATACCACGCTCAAACATCATTAACTTATCATAATCATGTAGTAACTGTAATTTTTGACCTGTCTCTTTGAGACATGCATCCCAAGCTAGTCCAGGAGATGTGTAATAATGTGCTGGATCTAAGGTGTAATGTTTTAGACAAGTTTTTCTAAAGTTTTCAAATACATCTGCCAAAAGTAGAACATCAGTCTTTAGGTAAAGATCATGATAATCTCTAATTGTTTTACACTCAAAAGTATTCCAAACATTAATAGCGTGTTGATAATCATCATCACTTATATCTTCATCATTCAATTTTGAATAGAATTCCTCTTTTGGTGGAAGTTGTGTTTCAGATAATTTTTCGAGTGATGAAACATAGTCATACGGATAAACTCCCTTACGAGTTAATAATTTTACATACTTCTTAAATATTTTTTTTGTATTATAAAAATCATCTGGTTGTAAATTTGAAACGAGATTAGCAACTGATGTTTGAAGAAACTTGAATGAATCTATAAATCTTATTTCAAAATTTATTGGTAAAATTATTCCAGTATATTTATCTTTATACTCACCAACCTTAATCTTTTTTGAAAAGGAAATATATTTTTCTTCCGTAGATGGAATACAATTTAACTCACCTGGTAAACAAGCAAGTTGTTTTATAAACAAATGAGCATCATAACCTTGAAAATTGTGAAATATAACTGGTAGTATTCTTGGTTTTTTACACATAAGATTACATTTGTTATGAGCTGCTCCGCGATACTTTCCAGTAAAATGACAATGATCTCTAACTTTCTCTTTTTTTAATTCTTTACTACAAATATGACAAATTTCCGCTTTATCAAATGATTTTTGTTCCTCTTTATTTAATCTAAGTGGTTTTGGACGACGATAAAAATCATTATATATACTATTTGTTACTTCTGTAAGTTTGTTAACAAATATCTCAGCTACATTATCACTATCATTAGTCTTTGTGTAAATAATTGGTTTAAATGATATATTAGGGTCTATCCCTTTAATGTAAAAACAAAATCCTGATGGTTCATGTTTTTGATAGTTGTAACTATAAGATTCTTTTGGATTAGGAATACAAGTATTTATTGGTTTAGTAAAGCATTCAAAATCTGCATAAACTACAAAAGGAATTGGAAGTTGATTGTCGTAATTTTTGAAATATAGCATTGTACCTTCTTCTGGCATTTTTACAGACACTGTTTCATTATTTGAACAGTATAAGATATGTTTTTGTAATAATTCTTCTTTAGTGTAATGTGTAAAACATCTTTTACAAATAAATATTGAACCATTCTTACTCTTAGTTTTTTGAGACTTAATCAAACGATGAAAATTTTTGATTAGTGTGTAATGCGAAACACCACCTTCTTCGTACAAAAATAAATCAATAGTATTTAAACAATCTCTCTCTGCCATTCTCAAAGGATAAAAAATATAATTATCAGCTGAAAAAACATTTATTCCTGGAAGTTCTGGATTAAGTTTTTCAAATTTTGTAATGTCTTTTAATTTCATAGGAAAACTAATTCCTTTAGTATTAAGAGAATTTTCATATTCTTTTAAATCTTTTAGTGTTTCTTCATGATTTTCTTTTGGATGAAGATATCTAAGTATACACCAAAGAAAGCATTTCTCATCTTTGTTTTGAATATTAACAATTGCTTTTTTGTTTGATATCCAATCTGGAAGAGGAATGTAAGATGATCCCTTAGATGGGTTAAACTCAACAGTATGAATTTCAAGTTGAACTACTTCAATAAAATACCATCCACTTCCATTTTCTTGATAAGCATCTATATCTTTAAGAATATTTTTAGAGCAAAGATTAATTAATTCATTTACATCTGTTGATTTTAAATTTTTTCGAATTCCTGATGTAAAGTAAGCCTTACTTTGATTCAATCCTATAACTCCTTTATCTTTACTAAGTAATTGCTGTTCCATTAAACAAACCAAAAGCATATTAAATTTTATGTTTCTATGATATGTAAAAAATTCTTCTAAAGTACTATGAATTTTATTTAAAAAATCAACTGGAATTAATCCAGGTTCTCCTTTAATAACATTTTTGTTAGCAAAGTTTTCCAAAGATGATTTTTCTTTAATAAGTCCTTTATTGTATTCCTTAATAGCTCTCTCAAGAGCTTCACGTAAATAAGAAGGAGTATCTGATGGAATCTCTTTATTTTTTATACATTCCTCAAAATACTCTTCAAATGATTTTATCTTTTTCTTTTTAGGAGGTTTTTTTACTTTTTTCTTCCTTTCTTTTTTTATATCAATACCTTTTTTTACTTTTTCTCTAGCTTCTTTCAATTTATTATATTTTTTAATTAATTTTCTTCTTTCTCCTAATTCCTTATAATCTTTCTTAAGTTCTTCTCTTTCTTCTTTTATTATATGTCTTATTTCATTCAAAGACAAATTCTGAAATTGTTTATCTGTTATAAAAGGTTGAGAAACCTTAAAACCATTTGCTTGGTTAGACATGACGTCTTATAATATTAAGCTTATATTATAAAACGTAATTACTTAACTTTTAATTAATCAGAATCTGAATCTTCAATATTTAATAAACTATCAATTTCATCACTATCTATTCCATCACTATCACTATCACTATCAGTAATATAATCCCAAAAACTATCACTTTCTTCATATCTTATTTTAAACTTACTAAAAAATAATTCAAAATCATCATATATATTTTTAAAACCAGGATAAGGATCAATATAAGCTTGATCATCATCATCAAAGCAAAATTTACAAAAATTGATATACTGACAAAAATTAATAAATTTTTTTTAATCCTAATTAAATTATCAACATCATTACTACTAATCTCAAAATTTCTAGTATCTTGAAGTTTACCTCTTTTTTGACTTAACAAAAATCTTTTGATAAACTTTTTTATTCTATCAACTCCGTAATTTTCAAATAAACCACGAGATGCTTCATTTATATTTTCAACAAAATACTTGAATTCCTTATTAATCCCTCTTATATAAAGCCATTCTTTTCTATAATTTTTTGCATATTCAGGAATTTTATTATTTTTTATTAAATTAGGGTGATTCGAAAAGTGGGCCAAAGTACCCATTTTGTTGTAATTTTGGTGATCCGAAAACTTTCCCACAAAAACCATTTCTATAACTACTAACCTCTCATAAGCTCCTATAGTTTCTGTTAGGTCTCCTCGCCACTTCTTTTTTTCTCTCTTTTCCTTTATTTTTTGTAATTAATGTGTGGCAAATAAAATAAAATAATAAATAAATGAACTTTATTCAATCATGATTCTGAATCTTGCTTCTGATTAATTATCTGTTCAATTATACTTCTCAAGAAATTGTATCACTGTTAATTGTAATACCCTATGCAACGGATTAAAGACTAAGCTGCATAAAATCAAAATTGTAGTTTTTTTTGTATTCAGCATATGTGGTACTATGACGCGTATTTCGTCACAAATTACTTCATTATGACGTAAAAATGACGAAATTTGTGACGAAATACGCGTCATAGACCACACATCCTAAATTGAAAAAAAAAACAGAAATCATAGAAAACTAATGTTAATTTTTTTACCATTTCTTTCCTGAATTTTCTTTCTGATGCCAAGTTTGGACATCATTTATAACGTCACAATAGAAGTCACATGGGATGAAATAAACACCAATAAATAGGTAATTTATCGAGCTACTTCCCTGCCGAGTTTCGTTACATTTGATGCATTCTACTTCTGGATTGGCCTAAAACTCGCCGTTTTGAGAGGTGCGGGAGCAAAAGCCCTAGCAACCGACCCCCGTGATATCTACTTTTTTGCGTTTTGAGATTGGAAGTGCTTACACAATTATCGCTGGCCTACCATGAATTCCTGAACTTCGATGGTGTCTTACAGATATTTCCTTCAATAACCCAAGGCGAGCCAATTCCCAGCTATGTTTTGAATAAATGCCTGTTTGATTTTTCAGGTAGCATGAAGAAATTTGGAGTTAAACCACCGAACTTAAGTTTTTGTTATCCTGAAAACCTATTCTACTTTATTGAATTATTCAAGTGCGACGAGCCTCGCTACTGCCCTAAACGTATCTTCCAGTGACAGAAAAATAATGTTTCTGTCCATAGAAAGTGTCCAAATTTCTCCATGCAGCTTCGTTTGCAAACGCGAGGAAACTTGATGTTACTATAGCGCGAATTTCATGTTTAAAATTAGAGCAGTCTGAGACTCCGACATCGAAAACCGATGTTCTAATTGCTCTCACAAATAAAAGGCCTACGGCCGGAACAATCTTTATCAGGTTTCTTATCTACCTCAAAGCTATCTATGGACAATAAATAAAAGAAATCGATTTGTCAACTCTTGCTACGAAATCAAGATGTTGCTCGATTTTTCCCGACTGTCGCTCTTAAGCAGTGTTGTTGTAAAAGTAGATACTAATGCCGAACTGATTCCCAGGATACTCTCTCCCTGGGCAAGGCTGTTCTGTATACGTATAAGTCCTCCATTAGTTAGCTAAGCTAAGATCATTATAAAGGAGTGCTTTGGTACCGTACAGCTCTACTCTCAAGCAGTTCCACTCAACTTGATCTGTTGGATAAAAGCGGATGTATCGTGTGGACAGTGGCGATGGCAAAGGGTGTTCATCAACTGTGTTTTTGTCACCATCCCTGCGAAATTCCTGTAATTAACGCAAAGTGTCCAGATTTAGCGTAATTCAGCCACCTTGGCAGAAAAAGATTAACCAGTTGAACATCAGTAAGAAGATTTGTTAAGCAGCAGCTATTATGACAAATGCTTTACTGTGGTCGAACATTGCCAAGATGGCCGAAAATTGCCCTCTTTTTCAACATTTTTATGGGACGGAGATTAAACGAGCTCCATCATACAATTTTCCTGAGTGTATTATACATACGCATCTGACTTCAATAGTTGTAAACGTGCAACTGGCAAGTCGACCCTTTCCATTTTTCGCGGGACTTAGGGAGGGGGGAATCCCTTGCAAGAGACAAGATTCACGTACTGCCCATAGCCAGCCTTAGGTAGTAATAGCAGTTGTCATACCTCTAGAAACTGACACGCTTTTTACCTACCTTTTTTGAGCCTCCAGTACCCGTATACTTAGACCAGCTACTGCTTCCATCATTGGAGTACGACAGCATAAATTTCGTTACGTACTCGTTGTGGGACGGATTCCCATTTCCTTGGGTAGCAGCACCACATATTTGATATGTTGTTCCCAGATCAATTTGAAACCAATCGTCATCGTCGGACTCTTCTGCACACCAGGCACTGTTTCCGTAATGTAGTCGACCGTGATAGGCATGGTAGCGTTTATATGTTGTACTTGCTGTCATCTGATTGTCAGGGATAATACTAGAATCAGCAACGCCAATGGGATTGTCGAAACAGGAAACTAAAAAAATATATATGTATTTTATCGTATGAGCGGCAAAAACGACGTGTAATAGCTATATTATTGTATATCAACTAACTATATTATTACGACTCCCAACGTGGCCAACAATGTTGGGAGTAGATGCGTCCTTTTGCGCGTAGCTAAACGTTTGACCGGTTTCAAACTTTGCGCATCAACTCCAAACAACAAAGCAACAACATGCAGCATGATGCGCATACTCATCCAACAATTTTGAGAGCTGTTGGCCAACAATGTTGCGTCCGTTTGCACGGGCTTCAAGGGCTAAGATGGGAAGTTCGATAGACCGTATTCTGGAATAAGAATAAAATAAACACATTCTAGAATTCACTCATTTTAGTGTTCATTGCTTTGCAATAGCTAGAAATCTGCTTAAAACATCACTGTACAACATATTAATTTTCAACAGGACTTCTGCGTAATGTTATTCCGGGATACGATCAATCGAACGCATTCCAAAAGTGAATTAAAATGAATAAAGTGAATTTGCAGTAATCTTCATTTCTCTCGGAATTTAATTTGTTGCAGTTTTTTTTCTTTTTGCTTGTCAATTTTCCTTTTCCATAGAAGTTCAAGCATTTTTGAAATCGAAGTTTCCATATTTTCTGGTATTCTGTAAATTGAAGAACTGTAAAATGAAGAATGATTACGCTTTCATAGGATGACCATAATTGATTTTATTATCCGTACGTTTAAAGCGTTTACTGTAAAACTGATAAAACCATGAACAACTGAAAATTTTCAAAAATGTTTATTGTGTTATGACCAAACACAGCCAATGTACACCAAGTTTACCATTGACTGTCACCGTAAATTTTTGAGTATCATTTCAAGTAAATTGGCTTTAAATATCTCTCCACAACGGCGTTTATCTCTCTACCTGTCCTCAAGATGGCCATTTTGTAATAAGGAAAGGGCCATTAGAAGGGTAAAGGGGAGAGAAAACAAAAAAAAAAATCCTTACACGCCTGGTCTACAAGCAAAAGGTCGGTCTCTTTTAAACTAGTTTTGCAATTTTCATCCGTTTGAGCTTAAACTCACCACCTTCTTAAACTTTTCTAAAGGTCCTTCCCTAATTTTAAGTACAGTGGACTCCCAATAACTCGAACCTTCTAGGGAAATCGAAAAAATTTCGAGTTATCTGAAGTTTGGGGCAAGTAACCGCAAATAAGGAAATGAGCAAATGGATAGTGAGCGACGCAAGTATCCTCCACACTTCACTTCAAGGGGAGCAAGAGAAATAGATTGATACTTACTGGAAAAAAGAAAATTAAACGAGAAAGCTTTATTAATTATACAGTTTAGAGCCATGGACACTTAATTTGTACTGGAGTGACATAAAAGGAAGTACAAAGAATTGACACCGCTGTTTTGTTTTTAGTGTTTCGGACTTCGGTACAATGTTTTTGTTTTTGAATTGTCTCTCCCTTTAAACATAGCTTCGAGTTAGAGGGTGGTTCGAGTTAATGAGGGTTCAAGTTACCGAGGGTAAAATTACAGTAAATGTAAGAAGGGAATCTAAGGAAAATCGACTTTGGTTCGAGTTAGCCCGAGGTTTGAGTTAGCGAGAGTTCGAGTTCGGGAGTCAACTGAAAACTATGATGAACACAGACAATGTTTATTTCTTACATGAACAGCTTGTACCATTTCCCGTGAAACCTGATTTACACTGACACTTAAATCCACCAACAGTGTTGATACAGTTCGCATCAGAGTGGCAGTTGTCGGAATTATCTGCACATTCATCAACATCTAGATGACAGGAAATTTGTTAATTATTCAAGAATAATGGTTTCGGTCTGAAAAGTGAATGCCATGCATATAATTCGCTATGAAAAAAACACCCACACAAATAAAAAAAAAAATAAGGGTTAATTAAACAAACAAACAAAAAAACACCCCTATTTTACGTTTGATTCACACATTTTCTTTTTTGATTGGCAAAAGTTTAGTTTATTCGGCAAAAGAAAAAAAAAACTTTTTTTTTTGATTAACACAAATAAGCAGTCAATGTTTGTTGAAATTCTTATCCTGATATAATTTGAAGACAGTTTC